TCAAGGACTTGGTTACTTTGTTCCCCTTGTTGCCCTGTTGCACTCCCTTCGCCTTTCACCCTGCTGTGCATGGGGCAGACCGGGCACACTTTCCGCACACTATCTCCAGTAGCGCTATAGGTCAGTGAGGGAATGTTGTGTCTAGTGGTGGGGTCAGCCCTACAGTTCTCTCTGCCAGCACCCTTTTTCAAAAGAGACTATTAAATGGACCTGGCATCTTTGTCAAAATGAATATACCATATATGTATGGGTTTATTTTTGAACACCCAATTCTAGTCCATTGATTTATGTCTATCCTTATACCCTATCACACTGAGTTGTTGTTTGATCGATTAGTTTGATTTTGGTGAAAATACACAAAATAAAATATATCCCAACAATTTCTACACATTCAACCCTGTAACATGTTCAACCCTGTAATATTGATTATATGCTTCAACTTGTGCAACCATTCTCCTTATCCTTTCCCACATCATTCCACTATTATTAACTCAGTGTCTCCTAAGAAAAAACTTCCCCTTTCTAAATCTTCCACCCTCAGCAACAACTAATAATCTTTTGTTTCTATACATCTGCTGATTTAAGTAAGACCATACAGTATTTGTCCTTTCCCAAATGATTCATTTCACTCATCAGGATGTTTTCAAGGCTCATCCATGTTGTAGCATGCATCTGGACTCTTTATGACTTGGTAGTATTCCATTGTCCTTTGGTAGACACTTTGTTAGTTTCCACCTTTTGACTATTGTGAGAAATGCCACAATGAACTCTGATATACAGGTTTCTATTCTGCTTGAATTCCAGCCTTCACTTCTGGGTATATACCTGGGTTGGGATTTCTGGCTTGTATGGTAGTTCTATGTTCAACTTTCTGAGAAATGACCAAACTATTTTCCATTTTACATTCCAATCAACAATAAATGAGGCTTGCTTCAATACTGTTTTGATTAATGTAACTTTGTAATAGATTTTGGAATTGAGAAATGTGAGTTCTCCTAGTTTGCTCTTTTTTAAGACTATTTTGACCATTCAAGGCCTTGTGTAATTTCATATGAATTTAGAGACTGGCTTTTGCATTGGAGGAGGGGAGGATTGTTGGAATTATGATAGAGATTGCATTGAATATGTAGACAAGTTTGAGTAGCATTGACATCCTAATAATATTAAACCTTCACAAAAAAGTGTTTTAAAATAATAATATTAAGCCTTTATGATGATAATAATCAACATAAATGAAAGTTCCCATTTTTCAAAATTTCTTTACCACTTCTTTTCTAAAACCAGCTGCGCATGCCTCTGACCCTAATTACATAGAGGTACACATACCTTAGCTAGGTCTCACAAGTTAAAGGATACAGTCCTCAGACTGTCGAAGTTGGCCAAAATTTTCTTGTTGGGAGTCCCCACAACCCCTACACTTCTGGCCTGCTGTCTCCCACTGCTCTCTCAGGTTTCATACTTCACCGGAATGACTGACTCACAGAAGTCACAGAAAGCACAATACTTATGACCACAGTTAGTTTTCAAGGTTACAAATTAGAATCAGCACAAAGAAGAGATACAGAGGGTGAAGTTTAGGAGTTCCCATGCAGGACTTGCATGTCACTCTGGTGGGGTGAAATTTCTTAATATGGCTCTTCCACCCAAGTCTCTGTAACTCCACCCAAATGATTACTGGAACTATGCAAATAGGATGTGTGTAACCCTAAGAGAAGGGTTTGGTTTGTTTTCATTACCACACCACCACGCTGTAAGAATGCAGCAGAGAAGGGAGAAACCTGGGGGACCTTGGAAGAGCACGTTCAAGATCTCCGTGTGAAGTGGTGAAGGCCACCAAGACCAGATGCATCACAGCCTGTGACATAGAGGTTCGACGCTGAGATTCTGGGGTACCTTCTCCTTATCTGGCCCAAGACTGAAACTGTTGGACAGAATGGTAGTTGGGCTGGCTTCCTGGCCAATGGAAGGAAAGGCCAAGGGACCATATGACTGAGAGTCTAAGAACCAGAGAGAGACTTGGCTACTGGCTGAGGAGACCAATGGCTGTATCTTTACTGTTTGCTATTAACCTCCTTAATAAACCTCCTTAATTATGAGTATGTCTGTGAGTTGTGTGGCCATTACAACAATTATCAAACCCAGCATGTGTGGGAGGAATGTTGGTGCCAGAATAGATAAAGAAGGATCAACCATAAAGGCTTGTCTGACTCCTGCCTTGTAGCAATAGGGAAGCCAGAGAAGGTCAGATATGTCCACCTCATGCCAGTTATTGCAGTCCTAGAAAGGGAACATGCTACTCTCCCATTTGTACTAATGTCTTTCACCAACCAGGATGCCCATTGAGCTTCCATGTCCAGAACCATTTTTATGGCCTAATTACGTAGTCATGATTGATTGAACCAACCTGCCTAGCTTGAAGTCAGCTGAGGTGATCTTTCTGGCCTCTTTAGCCCCTTCTGAGTCCTTACTAGCTAAACTTTCGGATATGATCTGGGAAACTATAGGTAAAAAAAGGTACTTCAAATTCCAAAGCATTTACAGGTACCGCTCATGAAATAAAGAAAAGACCAAATTATTATAGGTTAAGTTAATGTAATCCCTACAGTCCTTCCATCGATGGACATGGATGTCTTTTTATTTATTTCAAAGAAAAATTAAGCAAACCAATTTTTATTTCATTCATATTGACCCCATGTGTCAAAGTTAGAATTGTGATGAATAGATTTGTCAATGGCTGCGACCTTTTGGAAGTAAACCACAAGTGCTTTCTTCCAAAGTGCTTGTGGGTGAACTTTAACAGCAAGCCAACCTTTTGGCTAATAGTTGTCCACTTAGCTGTTTAAACCACCCAAGGAACCCTTTATTTATTTAAATTTCCTTTCATTTCTTTCAGCAGTGTCTTATAACTTTCAGTGTACAAGTTGTTAACCTCCTTGGTTAAATTCATGCCTAGGTGTTTTATTCTTTTCAGTACTCTCATAAATAGAATTGTTTTCTTAATTATCCTTTCAGATTATTATTTGATGACTCATAGAAAAGCAGTAGTTTTTTTGTATGTTGATCCTGTACCCTGTAATTGTCCTGAATTCATTTATTAGTTCTAGTAGCTTTCTTGTGGAACAGTTGGGATTTTCTACAAATCATGTTAACTGCTTATCTGGTTTTACTTCTTTTCCAATTTGAGTGCTTGTCATTTGAGCTTTTCTGTGCTCTTGAAGAAATCTGTGCCATTTATATGCTCCTGGGAACTTGTCCATTTCACCTAAGTTACATAATTTATTAGCATACAATTGTTTTGATATTCTCTTATTATCTTTTTAAAAGGATAAATTGTAATGTCACCACCACTTTCATTTCAGATTTTAATTATTAACATATTCAATCTTTTATTCACTCAGATAATTTTTTTAAATTTCATTCGTCTTTTCTAAGAACCGTCTTTTGGTTTCATTGCTTCTCTGTTTTTCTATTTTGTATGTCATTTATCTCTGTTCTAATGTCTGAATTTTTAAATAATAAAAACATTCAATGCATTTTAAAGGATACATCTGTCAGTACCCTCCACATATTTGAGGGTACATTCCTTTACCATTCTAGTAAAGGAATGGCAGTTGGAGAAAATTACAATGGTAGCAATAGCTAATAAACGTAGGAATATGTTATTGTCATTTATATCCGAAAAGCATTTATACAGGATATATAAATAGAGTACTCTTTAAAATGTATCATATCTACTTTCTGAAAATTAAACTTTCATCTCTTTTTCTTTGTTGCACAATAAAAATGTATTCTTTGGAAAGACAAATTAATTTAATCTTTTTGATTGGTGATATATATTTAAAACTAGCTTAATAGTGATTTAAATACAATGTTTCCTGATCTATTAAATATTTTTCATGTTATTGATTGCTGAATTAGTACACAATAATATCTATATATTTAATATTAGAGTATCAACTTCTCAAGCATTAGATGAAAGTTGGCATAAAAAGATTCATGTACAAAGGTGTCTGTCTCATCTCATTCTAAGTTTAGCTATACTCCTGTATGTGTACATTAAAAAAGAACATGTGTTTGTATATTATAGCTTCATTACTTGTATGGACACACAAACAACAGAAGTAATGAAAAATTTTTAAATGGGCTTTTATACTTTGATATTCACTTTCGCAGCTACTTTAAAACAGAATTTGTCTTAGAATACCTATTAAACATACAAAGTATAGTAACTTTATTCAGAGGCATGTACTTTGTTACTGACTGCTAATTATAGAGTATCCATGCCTAAGATAGATTGGTCTGTGTCCTTGAACAGGAGCCATAAGCATAAATGAAGCAAGAACATTGGATTCTTTTCTAAGGACCTGATAATCACATTTCTTTAAAGTGATCCTTAGAAAAAAAAATTAAAAAAAAAAAAAAAGTGATCCTTAGACCAAAGTGCTATAAATCAGTTGAGTCAAACAATACTGTAGCCTATTACTGAACAAATATCTATTAAATGCCTGCTGTATTCCATTATGCTACTAGAAAAGATAGAAAGATAGTCCGATAAATTAATAGAAAAAAATTCATGTATACACAAAAAACTCATATATACACAAAAGTATACACTGCCATGTACTTACTATCATCCTACTCCAACAGTTATTATTTGAAATGTGGTGTAGCAGAAATATTCCAATTATACTTATGATATTTCTAGCTTTATAATAGTGATTTTCTAATTTATTAGATTTAAGTCCATTTATGGGTCTAATTAAAATACAGTCATAGCATTTGCTCCTGTTCAGCATTTCTCACTATTTGTTTGAATAAATAGTCAAAAATATTTCTCTTCTTTTCAAAGATATTTCTTTTCCATAAATATCACATTTTTTTCAGAACCCTTTTTTAAAATCACAAGATCAAAAGAAAAATGCATGGCTTTGTAACTTTTTTAATAAAGGAAAGAATAAATATGCTGGGTAGAATATATTTGTTCTGTCTTTGTTTTTAAGGTTTGGCTTGAGCAACAAGTTTGATACTGAATTTCCCTCAATTCTAACAGGGAAGGTAAGTGAGAGTTTGCTTTGAACTTTTCCATTCTAAAAAGTATTGTTTTATGACTTATTTGATGCTGTGATAAATGCTTCGATACATGAGTAATAACGTCCCAAAACCATAGGCTAGAGTACTTATAGGCCATGTTGTTGATTCCAAGCAACCTATTGTTTTCTTCGCACATTAATACCAGTTGTTAGTGTATTTATTCAGCTTTTCTAGTTGTATCTTTTTTTCTCAGCACAAGTAGCTACCTATATACTCGAGTATAAGCCAATCTGATTATCAGCCATGGCACCTAATTTTACCACAAAAACTGTATGAAAAAATGTGCTGAAAATGGCTTCTACTCAAGTATATATGGCAATCTTTTTGTTTGTTTTTTAAATTATTTTATTGGGGGCTTATACAACTTTTATCACGCTAATCTGTTTTTGTTTAGATTAGTGATCTCCATTGTTTTAAAATTTGGATCTCTTATTGTTTTAAATCTGTACCACTGTATTATTTCTTAAAGTGTCATAGGATACGATTTGTTATATATAAAAGGAGATAAAAGTGATTGGGCATTTTTTTTTACCTTTTATGTAGTTCAACATTCTAAAATTGGACTTACTGTAATAACTATTTGTTATTACCTTCTGTTCCCTACTTCTTTTATAGTCAGTAGTAATCTCTAGCACTGTAGCTCAATATTCAGACTTCCTAGGACTCCGAACTCTCTGGAAATTCTTTTTTTTAAGATACTTTTTATTTTATTCATTCCAAACCATTTTATTAGGACGTAATCCTGACATTATATAATTCAATAATTCAGTCATATCAAGAGTGTTGAACAATTGATACCACAATCAGTTTCCAAATATTTTCTTCCTTCAAGTACTCCTTAATGTCAGCACCCCGTTACCCCTCCACCTCTCCTGCCATTCAACACCCCACCCCCGCAAACCAGAAACCCTTGATCCAGTTATTGTCTCTATAGATTCTCATATTCTGGATTTAATATACCAAAAACCAGAAAAATACATAACAGAGTCAGGAAGACTACCAACAATAACAAAATGCAACAGAAATAACCCCAGTTTTTCTTTAAAAAACACAAAATATTAAAAACCAGATCAAGCTCAAAAGGAAATCAAATGGCAAGTTTTTAAACATTCAAGTCAGATTTTTTCATTTTAATCTACTATAATTGTCTCTACAATACTCTGTCTGATAACCAGGTCATTCCCATCCCTCAATTATGGTCAGAGGGAAGTCCCCCAAGGCTTATCCCATGTGTAGAAACTAAACATGTATTTTGGGCTTCTGCTGACATGCATAGTCCTCTGCAAACCAGAATTTCACGATTTAAGCTCTGTTACCATTCCCTCCTTTGGATTTGAATTATATTATTTACAATCTTTGACTTGTGCATGTTACTGTCCTTCTTCCATGCGGACTTAGTTGAAGCCTCACTTAGATGGTTGCTTATTTGAAAACAAGCCTTTAAGACCCCAAAGGCTATTATTTCTTTTTTTTTTAACATTTTATTAGGGGCTCATACAACTGTTATCCCAATCCATACACACATCAATTGTGTAAAGCGCATTTGTACATCGTTTCTCAA